TTTCTTTCTGCAGTACTTATTTGTCTATGCAGCATTAGGAGCTGGCTAGTTTTGGAGACTGGAAGAACAGAGGACAGAGAAGAGAGGGTTGGGTCACTTCATACAACAAAATCAATCCATACTATCCTTCAGCTAATATGCATGTTAAGAACTAACACACAGGTTAAGAAGGAGATGCACAATGCATATATGTGTGTGTGTTACATGTTACCTTTATTAGTCATTTAGAGATTGGCTCCTTTTTTTTTTTTTTTTTTTTTTTTTTTTCTGAATAATTAGAGGAATGAGAGCATCCAGAATTGAACTTTTAGCTCTGACTGAAGTAAATAGCTTTTCAAAGCCAGGTTTTTGGTTCATTGACTCCACTTGAGTTTTCTTGCTTTGTTTAGTACAAGAATTTATCATGTCATTTGAAATGTAAACATATCTAAACTTATTCTGCCAGAATAAAACAGAATTTTTCCTGTGTTCATTTACTGTAATATGCTGCTTCCTACCCACGCTTTCAACACAAAATCATCTTGGTTCAAATGTTTTAAAGAATTTTTGAAAAGGCAAAATGCCTTCCAACACTACTTTAGGAACTCAGTAGTAATGAAAAAGAAAAGTACACGGTTCTAAATATCTCAAGGATGAATCCTTAGTGCTGTATACCTGTCTTTCTCTATGAGAGGACCTAAAATTTTGTTACCAGTTACTGTGTTAAATCCTAGTTAAGATGTTTAATGAAAACATGACAAGTAACCACTTGCATTTATCTACATATTTCTACTATTTTATTAAGAACTGCTATCTCGCCATCAAAGTCAAATGCTGAAATAGTTGAAGTCCCAACTCAGCTCAAAAACAACAACAAAATTCTAAAGAAATAAAACTAAAAAAATAATAATTTACTGGCTCAAACCATTATTTTTGTGACTGATTTTGACAATCCTCCTGATTTAGTCTTTGGAATATTATTCAAACCTCAGTGAGGTGATCTGCCCTCTACTGAAGTAGTCTGAGTTGCATTTGTGTGGATTTCAGGAAAAAAAAGAGGAACAAAAGTTACTATTTTCTTCTCTCTCTACTTAAAGCAGAACTAAAGGTAATAAATGTAAGATTTCAGCTGTTACATAGGTGATGCTGTTATTTTAGATACTGTTAGATAGGTAAATCAATATATTGAATATTTGTGCATTTATCTGCACTTTACTACTATCTGTTTTTTACTGAGATGGTAAATAAAGAAAAGAAAGAAAACTGGGAATAACATTTGAGATCATTTCTTCCTTGTAAGCTTTCCACAGGAGCTCTGGAAAAGAGATGGGACACGCAGGGCTGCAGTGACAGCAGCACAGCAACCTGGAGGTCACAACTGCAAGGTGCGAATAAGAAGCTCTCCAATAAAGGTGAATTCCTGCAGCTTGGCCTTTGCAATTATTAAGCTCATTCAACATAAGCTAGTAATAAATGAGGTAACATTGGTAACATTCACAGGAGAGAGATGTAGACTGCATTTTTTATAGATGCTGGAGAAAACTGGACATATCTATGCTGCATGTCAGCCCATCCTATGAAGCTGAATGAAACTACTGAGGTAGGACATGCTCTGGAAGTGCCTGTTCTCTCCACTGAGTGCAAAGAGAATGTAACGTGAATCACTCAGGTACAGATACGGTATTCCAAGCTGTAAATATATCAAATTAGAGGAGATGAATTTCACTCCCAGTCTCTTACTGCCTCATTGATTAGGAAACAAGTGTAAATAATTTGGCACCCGTTTAATGAATGCTTCACTTCCTCGAGTACATGCTCCAACCCTGAATGAGGAGACCTTTGGGAGCTATCTTGTGTTTACAGGCTCAGTTGGTGTTTCAAAAAGGGAAATATTAAATTAGGAGTATTTACAGGAGAGTCTGCTGTTGAGATTGATCAAAGGCATCACAAGACACAGAGAAAAGGGTCGAGTAAATACGCCTTCATGGAACAGACTGAACAGAGAGGACAGCCAGCCAGGTGTGATTACTAGTAAAGAGAATCTTCTGGAGAAGGAATCAGCTAAGATTTTTAGGGAAGATTTAAGCTGAGCGCAACACCTGCTCAGGGGGCGAACAAGAATTAAATAATAAATGAAAATAATGCCAGGTCTCTTTCAATAGAAAGAGGAGGGAAAATAAAGGGTGCAAACAAAGCTACAACTTTACTAGGAACTTCTCATTATACTGATTATGAAAGGACTGGTTTCTCTCTCCTTGTAAGCACATGACCTTGCTGTTTCTGATTAGGCCTGTCATGTCAAGACTTCTGCACATGCTGAATCTGAAGCATGGGATACTTCCACTGACTCCTATGGGACTGTACACATCCAGAAAGTTAAACAAATGTACGAACACTTACAATGGCCTGGCCTGCAGATGTAAACTGATGGGGTTCTGAAACATTACGTGTGTGCTTCCTATAGTCACTGAAACAACAGAACCAGAATCCTAAGACACTTAAATTATACCAAAAGTAAGAGTAAATAGTAAATACAGCTGTGAAAATACGCATGCTGTTGAAATATCAAATTGGAATACAATGCTACACTTAAAGCCATATGCATCACTTAAAGTCTAGTGCATTGCCAGCAAGTGAGAAGTCATGGCTTTTGCAGTGAAAAAAAGTAAGTGGTTATAAAATATTGGGTTTTCAGTAGACAGGCACTGTTTTTTCATGAAGCACTGGTACTTCAGTTAGCAAACATTCTCTCAGGGTGCTGGTGAGTTGCTCGAGGCACTATGTCTACTATTGCCTTGCATGGTGGGAACTTCAATCAACCTGTCCATCACAGTAAGGTTACAGATTACACAGTGCTTTATAAACAGTTTACAGCAGAAAAAAAATGCAAATGCTCTACTAGAAACAGAAGCCATGTGCATGTCCAATTGTTTGTTCTGAGATGCAGATATTTACAATAGCAAGAAAAAGAAGTTTAACAATGAACAAACCAAAGATGGAGTGTTTGCTGCCATTTTTTAAAAATATATCACTGAAGCATGAGGTCAGTGTTTAGTTCTGCTTGCAGTGACTAAAACCTCCTAGGAGCAATATTTGGAGATGCTTATGGGAAAACTTATGTTTAATAACAGATTAGTTGGTAGATTACTAACTTAGTACACAGCAGAAGTGGGTTCTTGTTTTTGAGAAGGATGCAAAGTGCTGAAGCAGAAATTTCCTGAGCACATTTGAAATAACATGGGCATAGGTTATGATCAAGTGATACCCTGATACTTGTCTTTTCCATAGAAATTCAGAGTAATGCCCAAACCCACACTTTTCATGGCCTGGGATCCATCACAGCTGCCAAGCTGCCCTCTCTGCTATTTGTGCCCCTAATTTTCTTCTCGAGGAATACGTAAAAACACCCTGGAAATCCTTGAAAAACAGGTGCAACATGAGGGAAAATGATTTATCTACCTTTTAACACAGAATCATAGAATGGCCTGGGTTGAAAAAGACCACAATGATCATCTGGTTTCAACCCCCCTGCTATGTGCAGGATTGCCAACTACTAGACCAAGCTGCCCAGAGCCACATCCAGCCTGGCCTTGAATGTCCTACCATCTGTATCCAATTTACAGATGAAGCTAAATTCTGCTGTGGGCTACAATGACTACGGCACAAGTTCCCAGCAGAGTTGCAGGAGGCATCATAACCATGTTACCCTGGTAGTCTAGAATAAGACAAAGTAATTCAGCAAAAAAGACAAAGCAAAATCCAGCTACCACTGTAAAGGAGTAGCATGGAGTAGGCATTCCCACCCTTTAGGACTTGATACAAATTCAGAAGAAAGTATGCATTACTGCCCAATAAATCAGAATTGAAGTTTTAAAGAGCAAACCCTTTAGAAAAGACTTCTTTGCTTAAAAATCACAGAAAAAGGGGAAAAAAATCCAAAGAACAAAAACCTGAAGTAATGGCAGTTTAACTCCTGCAGCTCAGTGATAAACTAAATAATTATCTAAGGGGAAATGAGTCTCTAAATACGATCAGAAAGAAAACTTTTTTGCAGGAAGAAACTGGTGATTGCTTTCCAAGAAAATTTAAAAGTTGCTTTGAAAATATAAAAGCTACCATATGTGATGATAATATTCAAGAAAAACAGAACAACCTCAAGGACAGATTAAGAACATTTACTTTCCTTTCACATAAACACACACACACTCCCATACACACTCTCCATTAATGACTGATGTTTACTGAATGTTATTTCAAAAAATCTGTAAAATGTCTCCCTTCCTATCTAAATACTTTGACCCTCAAATGCAAACCCAATTCTAGCACCGATCATTAAGGAATCTGGGATGGCCGTGCCCAAGCACCTCTGCAGAAACAGCTGCAGCTTTTTAAGATACTACTACTACTCAGCTGTTTGGTGCTGCTCCTCACCCCACCCACACATACACACACATATATATATATATCATATATAGGTCACTTGGGAATTCCTCATATGCTTCAGTGCGCAGGCATCTGGGGCGGTGTAATCTGCTTCTGCAGTGGCTGTCTGACTGTGCTCTTGGTGAGCAGGATCTGACTCATTCAGCTCAAGGTTACCACGGCGGGTAACACCAGAGCTTTTGAACCACCCGTGATGACTCTCTACTTCAAGGCTTTTTTTTCCCAAGGAGTTATTTAGAAACTTCTCTCAGAGAGCAGAAATTCAAGCAATTTTCTATACTTCTTGCTCATAGCCCTTATTCAGCTGTAAGCAGATTCACAACAGAAAGTTCATGCAAACCATTTTTTAAGCTGCACTAAAGCTCGATGAAGAGACTGACACAAGCTGATGTTAAAAATTACAGAGAATTGCATTGTCATACAAATTGATCTGAATAACAATGAAACACAGTAGGATCTGCATGACATACTGGAAGGGAGATGCTAACTCTACTCTGTCCAACAAAAGGAACTCTTTAGGTACCCGAAACTGGAAAGGTTTTCCCACTGCAGATAGTGTTGCAGGAACTTTTGCTTACCTGCTGAAGGGAGAAGAAAACAGGACTGAATAACTGATAGCGAAGACTCTGTAGTAGGTTTCCAAGAATCACATGAAAACTCTTGACAGGTGATACAATTTGGTTAAAAAATTCATCCCCTTGTAAAAAAGGCAGTTCTGCAATAAAGAGATGAACAAAAAGTAGCATTGCACATACTGTTATTCTAGGAATTGTTTCTCCATTGTGCACTAACAACCTCACACATCACAAACAGAAGTGAAACAACTGCAGTACACACAGAAGTGAAACAACTGCAATACTCAGTGCTGCTACACATATAATCACTGATATAAGTAAACATTTCTTTAATTTTCCCTTCCCTGTTTTGTTTTCCTTCAGAGGGAACCAACTCATTGACACCAGTGCTAAGAGCTGTGCTTATCACCAAAGTGGACAAGCCAGTTTCCATTAGCACACAGAAGCAATTGCAAGCAGTTCTGTGTCCAAAAACAAAAGAAAGGTTTGAAATAAGCTTCATACTCTGCAATGATCACCACCTTTGGAGAGAAGCTGTCTAGTAAGACCTGGAAAAGTATTAAATGCCTCAATTAAAAGTAATGGAAATCCTTGCTTTAAGGCTTCAAATAATGGTTGTAATGTCTGTTTGCCTGTCCATAGCTGGTCTTGAAGTGCCTCTCTGAGATGTTTACAAACACCATAAGCAGCCCTAGAATGGATATCTTCCTGCAGCACAGAATTTATTCTTATGTGATTTCTATCCCAATACAATGACCTTTTTTTTTAATCACTGGCCAATATATACCAAAAATACTAAAAATAATAATAAAAACAATTAGAAATCTACATATACACAGACACAGCACACACATGCATACACATTCTGAGTTTGGTTCTTCAGCACCTTGTACGTGGCACAGTCATTTGTATCAGCTCCACAACACTGCTAAATATAACTAGCAACAATATACAGAATTCATTCTCAACTCACTTAAACCTGGGTACAAAACAGTCCAGCTTTACTTACACATTTTGTAAGTAATTGTACTTTTTACTAATATTAATCTTCTGTGCCTTTGAGAGAACAGAATAGTCACAGAATCATAGAATGGCCTGGGTTGAAAAGGACCACAGTGATCATCTAGTTTCAACCCCCTGCTATGTGCAGGGTCACCAACCAGCAGACCAGGCTGCCCAGAGCCACATCCAGCCTGGCCTTGAATGCCTCCAGGGATGGGGCATCACAACCTCCTTGGGCAACCTGTTCCAGTGTGTCACCACCCTCTGTGTGAAAAACTTCCTCCTAATATCTAATTTAAACCTCCTCGGTCTCAGTTTAAAACTACTCCCCCTTGCCCTATCACTATCCACCCATCCTTAATCACCTTACATTCTTGCTTTTTGTCTGTTCCAGGGTGCGCTTCCACTTCCTCTTTTACCACTTGTTTTAGTCCAAGCCAGAGGCATTAGTTTAAATAACTGTGTACGAAGCCAGGGGTTAAGGAGTGCACACTCAAGCAGCTCAGTACTCAGTTTGCAGAATGGCAGAAATTATCTCAGCTTGTAAACTACAGAGCCAGGAAGTGGCATTCTGCATACGTGGAGGGCAAGGTAGAGAAACCAGCCTTTTCAGCAACACCCATACATCTGAAAGATGACAAATGAACATATTTCATGTGAGATATTTCACATAAATGCTTAAAAAATGTAAGAACACCATACACTGCTTATGAACATCCTATGGCAACAAAAACTCCTGTAGACGTAGACAGGTGTTGTCTAAATACATGAAAAACAGTGTTAAGCAAAGCAAGCTGTATTAGGGCAGTATTTTCTTGCTTTGGCTGGCTTTGTACTAGGAACACCTGCCAAAACTGCCAGAGTGGTCAGGACACAGAGGTCCTTCAAAGCCATAAACAGTTCAGCTCTGCTGAAAGCGGATATCATCACAACACCTCTCTAAAGTAATAGGTGTTGCCATGAATTTGGCTTTATTTCCACCCTGCTTAAAAGACAAATTGAAATAAAAAGATTCTTTATCTCCTTTCTAATTTAAAGTATATAAGAATTCCCACTGAGATTGGACAGAAAGTGCAGTAAGAGCTATTTGGCTCGCAGATTAGATGCTTATGGGTATGAAAATACTGTTGTGCACGGAGATTCTGCTTTGACACTTCAGTGCCAGCAAATAAGAACATCTTTCACATTGCCTATAACCTGTGGTAATTTGATTAGCTGGAATAACAAACCAAAACCATACTGCAATTTTTTAGGATTGGAGGGGAGGGAGTACTTCAGGGCAAAGATCCTCAGCCATTTTTTTTCCAATTGACCTCACTTTGATGATCAAAGCTCAGCCATTCCTTAAACGCATGAAGCATCATCTCTTTTTAAACCTGTGAATTATATTTATCTTGCTCTCATCCAATTTCCTGTACATTTCAACCTATCTATAGGTTCAGAGGAAATGGAAAATGAGAATGTATGAGGAAAATAAATAAATAAATAGACAGATTAGCCCACAGCACTGTAGCATGGAAGTTGTAGGACATTTTAACTAAGTGTATTCATTGCACCAGTGGAGCAATCAGTGTGTTATTTGGGCAAGTAGAGCTGATCAGGAATTTTTAAAAAAGCTGATCAGCTTTTTGTTACCAAGCTGATACCATGCCTTACCCAGAGGTAAGTTTTAGAATCATTTTTGTTTTCAAAGGCACAGCATCACTTACAGACTCCCATGCCTTGCTACAGGGAAAACAGCAACAAAAATCCTTGAGGGTTTTCAGAAATCAATACAGAAATCACTGTGGATGACCCTAAACACTTTTGCTGACACAGCCATCACTTAGCAACTTTAGGGCCTGACATCTCCCAGTCAGCATGGAAGGAAACATGAGCCCAGAGGAGTGCAGATCCCAGAGCACTCACAGGTGCAGTACAAACATGGACTAATGTAACTGCCTTCCTTATGTACATGGCTAGCTTAGTCATGAACGTGAGTGAAACTCATTCTTTTCCAACAACAGGAACTTGTTTGGCCAACGGAATGCTGGCTCCTACTCAGGACTGACAACAGGGGCTGCAGTAAATCCCTACTTCAGTTGAGCTGACACAGTTGCCCAGTGATGCCCCTGCATAGCCAGCTGCAGTCAGAGGAATCAGTCACGGACCAATTCGTGATATTACTGTGCACATCATTCAACTCAGCTACGAATGACTGTCAAATAACCCGCAACATTTCAGTAGCTGCAGTATGCAAGGTGCAAGCCAAGAACCAACATGCTAGATGGAAACAGTGATTATAACTAAACTATAGCCAGCCTGGCATGATCGAGGTCTGCTGCCTGAAAACCGACAGCAGCAGCATTACAGGCCTTCTCCTGTTGGAAGATGTTCTGATCGCACTGTGCAGGAGGAACATTGTTGGCTGGAAATGAAAAGGCTGGGTCAGTGCTTCAGTTCTGTAAGCTCAGGTAAATCAACCAGAAGCGTGGAAAGAAGTGCGTGGAATGAAGCAAGAAGGCACTGATACAAATGTACAGTTCATACTCTCCACTTTATCCATGTGTGGGATTTTTTTTGGTGGTGGATAAGTAGCATTTCAGTCTATGAAGCAACTGGCATTTGTGCTCTCAACATTCCTCTCCCTGGCTATTTAATAAACCAGCATACATCTGGTCCCAAGCATCAAAACCACATGGTTCCACATATGTTATAGCTGCTACCCAGGCACCCTCATTTACTGTTTTTTTCAGATTAATGCAGGATTTGTAGGTAAAAATGATGCATGTATTTCTTTTTGCCAAAGATAAAAGATATCTGTAGTTCCTCTGCACTTTATTTCAAGATTAATTTTTTGAAGCGAAAAAAATGTCACTTTAATTAAGCTAGAATTCAAGCCACAAATTAAAATTATAACAGAAGGATGAATTGTGATGAATTCTGGCTACAGAAATCAACAGGAAAGCCCTTGTTGACTTTCCCTGGGGCAATGCTGTACCCCAGACAAATAATGATTGTTTTTAATACTGACTTCTTGTAGCTGAAATCTTTTTGCTGACCATCTGTTTCTGTTCCATGTATCTCTGAGTTTTCTGCTGCAGTAGTGACACTCTGCTTGTGCATCTCCGAGGACATAAACTTAGGAAGACAGAAACCCAAAAGGAATAACTTCTCAAAACCCCTGGAATTACCCTTATAAGAAGTTGGAGAAAAACTCATAGAAAGCTCTGCACCAAAATGTGTCAAATTTTATTCTGTGGAGACAAAGAAAAAGCTAGAATGTGTACCAAGAACAAGAACAAAATTTAAGGGCTATTAATAGAATTAACTTAGTCCAAAAACATCAAAAGATATCCTCTCTTTCCTTAGATTACAACTTTTTCCATCCTGAAAACTCCTGCTTCAAACCTCTTTCAATTCTTTGTTTGCCATCCCTTAAATCTTAAGCACAAAGACTAGCTGACTGCACAGACCAAAGTGGTGCTTTCATGGGGTTCTGCCTGCTACAAACGGGGCCAATTCCACTGGAAAAGAGCCAGACTGCTGAAATCGAGCTGTGCAGTAAATCCCCTGATTTGTTACCTAATAATGCAAATGTTTCATCAACATTACTTAAGCAAAAACATTTCATAAGCGAAGTTGCAAATGCAGCTGCACCACTGCCAGTGTTCTCACGGTGCCAGCAGGCTGTGAGTTGCATCACAGAGGTAAAACAGCATCACATTTGTGAAGAGGTGACTGCCACAAGACAAAACAGTCCAAAAATAAACAACCCAACAGCTGTGCTCCTTAAGATCATGAATGTCTTTGCAGACTGCCATTTCTAAACCCTTCTATACTGTTCTGGTTTTGCTTTTAATGACCAATATAACAAAATACTTAACAATGTCTGCAGAAGAAGACTAGAAAATCCTATTCATGTGAACCATTTCTATGTTTGTATTTGATGTATTACTGCTTAGGTTTTACCAGTAGCCCATTTATAGAACTCCCATCAGAAAGTCTGTGTCCTCACCGTGATTCTAATACAAAAAATAAGCTTCAGGTAGCTCAGAGTGGAGTTCTTCTGGGGAACACCACATAGCTAAACATTGTGAGCTCCCTTCAGCTTTCTTGGGTGAAACAGAAAGACCTTTCCTATGCTTCCATTAAAGCACTCAAAGTCATGAATTTTTGACACAGCTTTTCAATGCTTTTACTAGGAAATGATGCAGTTGAGCGTAAGTAAGAGAATATTCGTGAAGGATTTCACTGGAGCACCTGCTGGGTCTCCTTTGCTGGTTCAGTCACCTAGGGCAATCTCATCGATAGGGACCATCACCTCATTTACCCCTAAATCTGAAAACTGAGCAAATTAAGGCAAGGTCCAACATTCCCCTCAAAGAAGAGAGGCACTCTGCTTCAGCTGCGTCTGCTTTTTAGTAAAGCATTCGTTATTCACCTCCATTCTCATTCCTAAACACTGCAGTGAGGTAGAAAAGCAAAAGAAAGACATCTTAATTTCCCTCAGCTATTCATAAGCCATTTAGCCCACATCCCACCTTGCCCTGACACCCCATGCTCAGCCTCCAGCTGCAGAGGTGCCAGAGCACGTTTATAGCAGCTGCTCCTGAAGCACATGTGAAAAACATTTGCAGCAAAAAGCGGCTTCCTATGAGAACAACAGCAGGCCTCTATGGAGGGATTAAGAGACTGATGGATCCCAGACAACTGAGAGTCATGAGCAGCTAAGAGGAACAAATCACTGCCTTCTCATCCAACTCATGGCTTCTGGCACTGAGCAAGCTTTGGAAGAAGCAAAAGAAGAGGCAGAG